TGTGTGTGTGTGTGTGTGTGTGTGTGTGTGTGTGTGTGTGTGTGTGTGTGTGTGTTTTTGATGAAGTGGGTCAAGACGAAGTAGAGCAGCACCACCGGGGATTCTGGGTAATAGAATCCAGGTCTGCCGTGATTCGCCGAAGGTCACGAATATTAATTGTCTTATTAACACCTTCCTCCCTCGTCAAGAGTTTAGTGAAACCCAGAAGAGCATGTGTGTGTGAGTGTTCATGTGTGTGTGAGTGTTCATGTGTGTGTTGTCAGACTGATCTTGGTCCTTTGTCCCTCAGAGCCCCCTGTACCCATCGCCCCTCCTCAGCTGACAGCAGTTGGTGCCACCTACCTGTGGATACAACTTAACGCCAACTCAATCAATGGGGACGGACCAATCACTGAGCGAGACGTGAGTGCTGATTGGTCACTGATTCAGAAGTGTGGCTACAGCTACGACATTGGCTAACATTGCATAGTTAGCTTATCAGCCTGCTGTTCCCTTTAACAGGCTAATAGTCAAAGAAAGTTTAGACGTTGGAGCCACAAACTGCGGTAGAATTCTGTAATGCATAGAACTTACAATTCTATAGTATGTATGTATGTATGTGCAGATGTATATGCGTGCATATTTTTTTTTCAAAGAAAGTTTAGATCCAGGAATTTGCTTTATATTTGTTTTGGTCAGGTGATTTTTGTCCACTTCTGGGGCAGCCTACCTGTAACATTGTGCTCGCTTTCAGGTTGAGTATCGGACGACGGCAGGCATGTTGATCGACACCACACCGGTTGATAAGCCCACTCATAAAATAGGGCATCTGGACCCCGACACAGAGTATGAGATCAGTGTGCTCCTCACCAGGCCCCTGGATGGAGGCACAGGGAACCCCGGGCCACCGCTCAGAGCCAGGACCAAGTGTGCAGGTGAGTGAAAGTGAGGTCACATGGTCGAACCCTGCAGCCAATCGGTGATGAGGGCCGTTTCATGTCATCATAGTTGGTTTTGCTTTGTAGAGACCCTCGGGTGATTGCTAGCAGCTAGCAGCTAACCGTGTGGCTCCACTCACACTGCTCTTATTAGGAGGTTAATGGCTGAGTCATTAGCGTACCGTGCTAAGCTGCATTAGCACTGAGCTCATCAGGTGGCTAATGGTTAACGATGAGCTCATTAAGACAGCCAGCTTTGTTAGCATCACACTCGTTAGCTCCTAATGGCTACTGCGTACACACTACGCTAGCAGTTAATCTCCTGAATGAACACACAACACACTGTGCCGCAGGTGTGTGTGTGTGTGTGTGTGTGTGTACGCAAACAAAAAACTGGATGTTATTAGCAATTAGCTCGCTAATTACACAGGTGCAGCCTTTTTATTGCTGGTGCAGTTGTTACTTCATCTGTGGAGTGTTTGCTTGTTCCACACGTTTCTATTCGTTGTAATTATTATTAGTACCAGTCTTCATAATTCAGATTCATTTGATCTGTTTTTATTCACATACCTGTGTTGGAATTTATAAAGAATATAACCCATATGCTTCCATTATTGTCAGTATAAGTTTTATTTACATGATCACATTATCAACAGCAACAAAGAGCTTTGTGTTTCAAAGAGAAACTATATTTTTAAACAAAGAACATCAGCAGACACTTAGATTCACAAAAATATTTAGTAAAACAATCATAATTTAAAGAAAACCACAATGTTATTTTTTGGGTGATGATAATATCAATCTCAGCTTAACCCTTTAAGACCTACCATAGAACCAAGTCCGCCAGAGCTTATATTATATTTTTACATGCTGTAGAGCCATTTTTGGGAGAATTTCAAGTTGATATACATCAATACAACAATTATAGCCCAAATTTTAATAATATGTATGCATTAAGTGCATAGTAATTACATAAAATTGCAAAGAATGCGATAAACTGCAAAAAAATTTCTAGTTAGAGAAATTTAAGAGGCTTATCCCTCAAAACTGTAAATACAAAAAAGTTGCACAAAATAGTTTCCCACCACAGGAAATTTA